TGGGCCGATCAAAATCACATTAGAATCAAAATCCATCGTCTGTTCTCTCTCGCCATCTCCAAACAAATCAGATCGAAATTAATTCTGCCAAATCAATTCAAAACCATTTATCCAATTAGGGCTCGACTTGAGGAGATGAGCACGGTGGAGCTCCATCGACTCTTCTCCATGCTTGAAGAATGGCGATGGCAACATCAGAGGAGCTCTCGGGATCGGCATCGGCGGCGAAGCTGCGGGCTATGATCGGAAAGATTGATGTCGACGGGGACGCCGAGGAGTTCGGCGCCCTGTACACGGCGGCATTGGAAGACGGCGGAGGCGACGACGTGGATGACAGTGAAGAGGACGTGCGGGAGGTGTTTAGGGTTTTCAATCGGGGAGGGACGGGTTCATCACGGCGGATGAGTTGAGGTCGGTGCTGGCGGCGCAGGGGCTGACGACTCTGGTAGGTGAAGATGCCAGAGAAGTACCGTAGTATGATCGTCAGGGTCGAGTTAGGTGGTGATGGGAGGGTCAACTTCGGCGCTTCTGACAGATGATGAAGTGCGGCCGCATCGTCAAGGTAACTTTATTGTTTTTTTTATATAAATTTTTTTGTTTTGATGTACAAATTGCAATTGTCAATTGGTTGGTGTAGTTAACTGATTTTGATTTTCGCCTTTTAGTCGGGCTGAGAAATAATTTATGTTTTTTATCTACAAATTTTGATTCTTGCGAGCATGAATGTCGCATGCTATGACCGTGCGTGCATTGAGATGGACGGGCGGGTGTATGCGGTCGAGGGGTGCGGAGCACAAGGAGTTACGTTGAAGTCTGGCGTGCTTACAGTGAGTTACGTTGTGTTCTTATTTGTGATTAGTTGGTTTCTCAGTAGGACAGTGAGTAAGAACTTAGAACATATGTGATAAAACTACATAATGTGATTTGTATGTGGTGCACCATGGAGGAATTTCTTCCTATTTATGTGTCATATCTTTTTGTGGATTTTGTTAATTGTCTTATTGGCCATTTTAAGCAAGATAGTTAAGAGAAACCAGGAGGAAAGAAAAGTTTTATAGCACCCAGAGATGTCTTATTGCTAAAGTTTTAGGTGAAAGGATTGTATAATAATAATGGCAGAATTGTAAGTGAACTTTTGTTTTTGTTTTTGTTTTTTGTTTTTTGTTTTTTTTGTTTTTTTTTTTGTTTTTTTCTGTTTGCTAGCAGATAATATTTGGGTCATACATATACCCTCTTGCAAGTGAAACATTCCTATCTCTTATGTATGTGTTTGCTAACCTGTAGTCCATATTTAATTATTTAGCATTTCTTTTAAAATTCAAGTACAAATTAAATTGGTTCTTTTTTCCATGAGAACTTCTTGTGTTGGTATCTTCCTTGAAAGTGCATTTTATATTCACTCTTCTTAATATTACTATTACGAAATCTTGGATCTTTGCACCAGACATATATTCATTCTTCTTAATATTGCTCTCCTTTATTAGATGAAATTTGTTTCTGGAAGTCCTCCATTAGATACTTCTTTTCTTTATTACTTCAAAGCTAAACGAACACAGGCTCCTCTATATCTTGATTGCATGCGAACCAAAGTATTGGGAGCATTACTTGGTTTATCCTGCTTGTGTTTGGGGGTGTAACTGTCTGTAGAGTTTGTGGTAAAAATGTAACAGCTGCAGAAATTTGGGAATGGATTGGCTAATGACTATAATCACTATTGATAAAAACAAAAAATTATAAATGGGTTTCCATATTCATCGTCTTAGGGAATTTTTCATAACTAAGTGGTTTGATTAATTTCTATTTTAATTTATCAGAATTTATTTTTTCAAAAATAATTTTAAAACACCATATGCCTTATAATTGTAGGATTATGTTCCCGGACAAGATGATACTGCATTAAAGCTAAGTTGGGAGATGGAACAATAATATATATACACCACAAGATCTTTTGACTTTGCAGAGTCAAAGTCAATGGCTTCCTAAAGTTTTTTTCATAAGCCAGAGTAAATTGATGAAGTTTATTGTCACTTATACACAATGGGGACAAGATAGAGACCAATATATCTTCAAGCCCTTGGTGATTGATATATTAATTTTAGTTCAGCAGTCTCTTTTTATTTTTAAAGTTATTATTGTTGATTTTAATAGTATTATTATTTCAGCAATCTCATAATGGGCTAGCGGTGTTCACACCGGCAGATTCTGCTGCATGTGACGAGCTGGCGGTTGCTCAGAGGCTTGCTGGTTGGGGAGATGGCGTCGGTTTGTCGGGGACGCGGCTGCCTATGAGGATGGGTACGGTGACGCATTATGTTGGGTTACTTAAGGTTATTAATTGTCCTTACGTAAAATGTTTATATGTTCATAATGTAGCGGATTCCGTTGTTTATCTTGAACCAGTCGCAACATTACTTCCAGTTATTGTATTCCAATTTTTCGGCCTCGAGCAACTTGAATTGAGGCGGACGGGAAACAACGGGGCACTATTGGGAGGAGCTTTTTAATGGAAGCTATCATGTTACTCAAATTGAGGAACACAAAACTGCAGTATGTACTTAGTCTATTGATATAATTTTTGAGCTACTTGATCAAATGGACCCGTGTTTTGTCATCTACAACTATTTTCTAGAGGTGTAGCATGGTTTCTATGTCCATGAGGAGCTATTGCTTGGAGTTATCTGATATATGCTTTGCTTTTTCTTTATTTGACTTGTAAAAAATTTATTTTTTATGTATATTTTTTTGGAAAATGTGTTGGCTGAATGAAAGGTGATGTTTCTGACTGCCGCAAGCTTTTGGAGGCTGATTGCTGACCTTACAGAGAGTTTAGTAAGTCATAATGTTGTAAAATGAATTTTTTGAATATTCTTTTTTCTTTTTTTTGGAATTTTTGAAATTTCAATTGCTGAAAATTCATGGTGCTGATAATTCTAAAAAATCTAATATTTTGAGTAGATGTCCGTGTATTTGATGGAATGAAATCATGCAAGAAGTTGAGATTTGGATATACATTACAGTTGTTTTGAATACTTGCCAGTACATTGTTGTGAGAAGTTATATTATATTTTACATATTGCTCTATTTTATGTTTTCGTTGTTTTGTTCATTGTGTCCAGGTTTTAGAATTTGTGTGTTTCATTCTTGAAAAATGAACAAATTGTTGCTCGACTTTGTTTTTCAAGCCATTTGGAGCGGGAATGGAAGGGAGAGGCCCTAGGGGGACCGGTATGGGTACAGGGTTACCCGCCACAAGGGTCGTACGAGCAGCCTCAGAAGCCTAAAAAGAACAAGGCGGGAATGGGGGCCGGGTTTGGGTTAGTACAAGTACAAGGGTGTTTTTCCACTTTATGGTTTCGATTTTAGGAGCTTTTTGACGTTAATTGATATGATAATATTGATGAATCGATGTTGTTTGGTATGCAACATTGCCATATTTTTGTAATATATTGATTATTTTGTTGATTATTATGTTAAAAAGGGTTTATATGTTATGTTGTATTTTAAATATTATGCCAATGTTATAATAATTTTTTATTATATATCATTTTGCCTAGATGTTATTGGCTTGGTTGTGGAGACTCATCTAGATCAATAATATATAATTTTTTATACTTTGTAAATCAGTTAATTTATCCATATTTTAAAAGACAAACTATTTATTTAAAATAGAATTTAAATTCTAGCTTAAAATTTTTAAAGTTTGTTAACGTGGCAATTTTATTTGAATTTTATTGAAAAATCCCGACTGTACAATCGAAAAAAAAATTCAATTTTGCCAAATCATATAGGTAATTGGTTGTCGAAATTTAAAGTTTGGATTCTTTTCATTATATTTTGTTTATTAACAATTGTAAATCGTTTTTTTTTAAAAAAAAAAAAATCAAACACAATGTATTAATACCTTCTATCCAAACATTTTCCAATTTTAATTAGAAATTTTCTACCATACTAATGTTTTAAATCGATTAATTGAATTAAAAAAAAATCAAACGCAATATTTTTAGGTAATACATTCTATCATAAAATTCAATAATATGATTAGAATCTTCTATCATAGAATCCAATGCTTGTCTAATTATTAACTGATAATTTTATTTTGAGAAATTTTTTTAAATAATCCCACTTTTATTTGGGCGTAAAATTCAAAAATTCAAAATAGTTTTATCCAACCACAATTAAACAGATCAATTCATTTCCATATTTATCTAATAAATAGTCCAAAATTTTCATGTAATTTATGGTAGATAATAACTGCATAATTATGTTGTTTCTCACGTATGATAACACACTACAATATCGGATGATTCTTAAAATTATTTATAAAAAAGGTTCTGAGAAACAAACACCACGGAGGCAAGAAGATATTGATTCCTAGAATGACAATAATTCCTTCTGATGTCAGAATTCCTTTCAATTTCCAGAGACGACAATTTTTCATTATGGTATCGTATTCCATGACTATCAATAAGAGCCAGGGACAGTCGTTATCGCATGTTGGTTTATTTCTTAAGAAGTCGGTGTTCAGTCATGGTCAATTATATGTTGCCGTCTCCCGTGTCACCAACCGAAGTGGGTTGAAGATATTAGTCTGTAATGACGATGACTTGCCACCAAATCAGACCCAAAATGTTGTGTACAAATAAGTGTTTACTAATTTTTAAAGTTTTAAATTTATTTTTTTCTATTTTACATTTGTTACATATCTACAAAGTGCATTAAATTTAATGTTAATATTAAAAAAGTTTCAGAAAAATATATCATCTCGTGCATCACACGGGTCAGTATTAGAATTGAATAAAAAAAATGACCGAAAAATCCCACCCATAACCCCATTTAGTTCACCGAAAAGGACAGCTCAGCGAAAATTTTGTAGGGCGTGACACCTGGTTATAACACGCGTCCATCACGTGGGTCCCACTGGACCAATAGCGAAGGTTGTTCCACTTTCATTAAAAAAGAAAAAGGGAAAAAGGAAAAAAAAAATATCTTTTATTTCAACGTGGGACTCGCCTCCTGCTGACACGTAGGTGCGTTTGGGTTTCCCAAGAGTCGTCTTCATTTCTCCATTTTCTTACTCCCCAAAAAAAAAATAAACAAATTAAAAGTAAATCAAGAAACCCCCTTTTTCCTCTCTCTTTTCCTTATTACTATGAATTATCATCAATCGATTGTCTGTCACTACTTTGCACTGTTTTGTTTTGAGACGGTAAGCAACTCATGACCCTCCTTTGTTTGATTGCGTATCAGATTATTACACTTGCTGGGCTGCTTTTTTTTAGCTTATTTTTCTTGGTGGGTGTTGAGATGTACACTTTTCTTTAATCATATATGTGTGTGTGTGTGGCCTTGGCATGTATTGTTTCTTTCAAACTTTTTGAATGCATAGACTGATAGGTGTCCTCTTGGTGCAGGTTTCCCTTTTTCGTTTATTTATTTATTTTTTATTTTGGTTTTTTTTTTCAATTTTTTGTTTGTTGACTTTGGACATGGATTTCTGGGGTGACATGTGTTGATTAAAGTTGAGATTTTTAACACTTGGAGGTTGAGGCTTGAGGGTAGTGAAAAAAGGTACCCATCTCAAATCTAGCGGTATTTGAACTCTTTTTTACTTTTATTTAATGTTTTCAAGTATTTCTGTTACTTGAGGGTGCACAGCTCATGAGTCCTGGGGATTTTGTTGGGACTTGTAAGTTTTCCTTCGAAGATATTTTTTCTACGTTGCTTGTGTGTGTGAGCTTGTGTCTCTTCCTTTTTTTTTCTAATAATCTTTTTGTTATTAAAGATTATTTCCCCTCTGAGTTGTTGTTTTGATATGGGAATGATTGAGGATGAGTCATAGATAGTAGAAGAGTGTTATTGAGAACTTTGTCGCCTTTCTTTTTGGACACTAATAACCCTTTCAATCTCTTGTGCCATTGATTGTGCTGCGGCTCAATTATATGAATACTCTCTCTCTCTCTCTTGTTTTCTCTTCTGACTTCATCTGTAACATTTTCTGTTGAATAGGGCTATAATTCCACAAGGGAGTGAGATTTTGCAGAGAAACCTCTTGAGCCGTCTCTTGTGGATATCTTATTTTTACACAAAAGCTGATTGATGGATGAATTCTCTTCACTAATTAGTCTGCCATTTAAGCTAGGAAATTTGATTACTGAAGACAAGTCTTTCACAAGCAGTGTCGAGAGTGCAGGGATCGAACTGGTAACTGGCTCGATAACACTTTTGCCTGAAAACTCCATGACGAAACTGCCCTTGGTGCCCGTCATTGCCTTTGAGAATAAAAAATCCAACTATAACGTCCCACTCAATGGAGTAGTCGTGAAAATCGAGTCAAGCTTTGATATGTCTAACATTGGTGAAGATGAAAGTGATAGTTTTATGGTCATTAATAATGCAGTTGAGAGAGAAATTGAGAAAGACGATCAAACGGGCCTCGTTAGTGGCCCATTAGCCACCACCATTGTAGATTCTCCATACACAATGAATGATGATGCTATTGGGGAGACTAGTTCTGGTCCAATTTCATGTAATAACTTAGATGAGATTGACAATATCGTCATTTGTCGAAATATCATCAAGAAATCGGACTCATGGGTCGAGATAGCCGAGGATCTTTCTGCGGAAAATACTCGTGAGCCTGTGCCTAAGAGAACATTTTCAGCGTCCCTAGTTGAAATCCCGCAAGAAAGTAAAATGATTAAGCATAATCTGCCTCTAAATGCTTTGCCTCTTTGGGGCTTGACTTCTATTTGTGGAAGGAGGTCAGAAATGGAAGATTCAGTAGTTGCTTTACCGAGATTTCTCAGCATTCCTTCTTTTATGTTGAGCGACAACCCAGTTTTCACTTCCGTGCATAAAGATTTAACTGGCCATGTTTTCGGAGTTTTTGATGGACACGGAGGTTTTCAGGTAATAANGTAAAAAAAAAAAAAAAAGAAAGATTAAATTTTTTTTACTTTCAGTTCAGTTCAAGTGTTCAACAAAACATGTTCACCTATTGTTCAGGTTTCTGATTACTGCCGAGAGTATATGCATCTAGCTTTGGCAGACGAGGTTCGTGTGGCCAGAGAGAAATTGCCGGTCGAAGTTTTCGGGCGTAACTTGAACGAGCAGTGGCTCGAGATATTCCGTAACTGTTTCCAGAGATTAGATGACGAGGTTGGAGGATTTGCTAGAGGCAATGGGGAAAGTGACGATTCTCCTGTTAGCCCTATTGCGCCCGATTCTGTGGGGTCCACAGCTGTGGTTGCAGTTGTTTGCACCACGCATGTTATCGTGGCGAATTGTGGTGATTCGAGAGCGGTTTTGAACCGGGGGAAAGTGCCGGTGCCATTGTCTGTTGACCATCGAGTGAGGATTTTATATTATTATTATTATTTTGGGAAAAAAATCAAGAATTTATGCATGTTGGTTATTGATGTGACATCTATGTAATTTTTCTGGTTTTGCAGCCAAATAGAGAAGATGAGTGTGCAAGGATCGAAGGTTCGGGAGGGAAGGTCATTAATTGGGACGGGCCACGTGTTTCGGGTGTGCTTGCTGTGTCTAGGTCCATTGGTGAGTTTATGTTAATAACTCAGAAATTTATATTATAGTTATAGTTCAGTAATTGCCCAGCAGTAACAATTTCTTGATTAAACAGGGTTATTTACAAAATTTATCCTTCAGTTTTTGTGTCTAATTACACAGCAACTGTGTTTGTCTTTTGAATCTACAAATACCCTCTTGGCATTTGTCTTCGTTTTACAAATTGCATCTTCAAGATTCGGGTATTTGTGATGCATATACTAAACTATCTTGGGACACCTTTAAAGAGTTTCGAAAAGATAACCGAAGATTTTGAATAACTTTTTCTATGTTTGGGCTTGAGGGAAAAAAAATATTTTGGAGAAGAAAAGATGTAATTTGTCTAATATGTCAATAAGTTGATTTGACAAAAATAAATTATTTATGATATATATTTTAAATTAAAGATTAATGTGTATATATATTGAAAAATGGCTACAATCATACATATATAAATACTATGAGAAACAAATTGCTAAGAAGCTCAACAGATATTCAGTTCAGATATTTGGAGAGTCACTTTAATGCTAATTGAAACAAATGTTTCAAATGAAATTCAATAACAAGTGAAGATATATAAACAAAGACTAACAAAAATTTTTAATAATTATATTTGCACCAACATGTTGTCAAAAATCATGAAGTTTTAATTTTCCATTGAAAATGATATCTTATATGGACTACTTTTGCCTAAAAAGGTATCGTAATATTGATAAACATTTACTTTTAATTTTAATTTTTCACCTTGTCGTCATTGACGGTTTACTTATTAATCATCTTAATCTATCTCATATTAAACATTAAATATAAACAATTTGAATAAAGTATCTTCAATTTTATCTTGGAGTTTAGAATAAGTATCGAACTCGATACAATTTCTATTTGCTTATTGTAAAAGTACAATAAATTTTGATATATTAACGTAAGGATGAGCAGAAATAATTATATTGATGAAATTCTTATATTTAATTTTGGATTAAATAATGAAGAAGCTATTATCGAATAAGTCATAGTAAAGTGTAATAGTCTTTATAGAGAATATTATTTGTGTCTTCATTTATAAATATCACTTAACTGTTGTTCTTGTTGATACCTAAGAATGGAATTAGAAATGTCATCTCATTCAATGAATGAAAAGATAATATCAATTGTGATAAAATAATTATAATTTGTTTAATAATTATAATAAAAATGTGTGTCAAGTTTATTATTTAATTTTTATTAAATAAAAAATTATCCAACATAAGATACCACATGTTATCCGACATTAGTTTGAAAACCATTATGTAGAAAATAAATATTATCCGACTATTTCTACAGATAGAAAAATTAAAATTTAATGGGTCGTGTATTAAGCCATAGGTGTATCATTACTCAAAGGAAAAACACAATCTTATTAATTAAAATGTAGAATTAACTAATAACTTATAAAATAATGTATGTTAAATATCAAATTGTTATTATGAAAATATAACAAAATAATATGGATAGTTTGTTTTATTTGTCTCTCTTAAATTAATTTCTCTTGTCATTTTGTTTTCATCAACTAATACCAACCATTGCACTTATTTTTATTTATTTCATATTAAATTTTGTGAAGTAAATTACTTAATAGTACAACAATTATTCTATATGGAAGGAATATATTAATGCCAAGAAAAAAGCTAATACAAAAAGTATTGATACTTTTAATAAAATTCACAGAAGGTCAATCTCGCCAACAATTAGTATCTATATAAATGGATTAGCCAACTTCGCTAGTTTTGTAAGGAATTTTTCTGCCTAAATTTTTACGGACAAAATAAGAAAGTTATTCTTTATTTTAATTTGACACAATTTAATATTTTCATTATTTTACAAACCATTAATGTTATTATACTTGAAAATATTATAACTAATTAAGTTGAGGCTATATTAGAAAATTTTAAATTGCCGAACTTAAATTGGAAAACTAACTTGTCGCCTATTAAACATTAAGCGCATTATTTACTCAAAATAAAAATAAAAATTAACAAAATATAATTTTGTAAACTAAAATGTAGAAGTAATTAATAATTTATAAAATAGTATAAGTTAAATATATCAAATTGTTATTATGAAAATATAATAAATATTATTAAATAATATATTATTTTAACTACTGAACTATCATTTGTGCTATAATTTGTGCGTTGTACGGGTAGATAAGCTAGTATTAGTTAAGAGTTTCATAAACCTTTTGGACTTTAGTAGTTTATTTCACATCCGCATGTGTTTCGGCTGACACAAAAGCAAATGAACCTTCAAGAAAATATTATTTTTAATTTCTTAAAATTTTTCGTTTCGAAAAAAAAATGATGAAAATATAATGAAATATTATTAATAATATATTATTTTAATTTTTGTACTACAACTTGTGCATTGTACGCTAGTATTAGTTAAGAGTTTCAAGCTTTTTGAACTTTAGTAGTATAAATTCCATTAGTGTTTCGGTTGACACTAAACCAAATGAACTTTTAAGAAAATATTATTATTTCAATTCATTTTCTATTTGTTATTATTCCCCGAATATATTATATTCATTTTCAATATGTCAGATTACTTGCACTATAGTCATGTAATTCAAAATATTATTCTTTTATAATTTTAATCTTACATATTTATTATATAATAAGATAATATTGTTTAACTAAAATTGACTTAATGAAAAAATTAATCAATATAAGTTAGATATTTATGGAGATTTAACAAAATTATCTTTAGAATTTGAAAAAAATATAAAAATATAAACTGTGAAATATAAGTTAAAGTTCACATCCAAATCCAAAATTAATCAAATAATTTGCATTCATTAACCAATATAAAATACGACTAAACTGAAAATGAAAAAATAATATCCAAAATATAAAAGGGAAATACTACAAGTACATAATGCTATAATGCTATACATAGATGTGTACATAATACTCACATTAAGTGGATTCTACCAAAAATAAAAAATTAAGTGGACCCAACTCACAGTACATGTAGCATTTTCCAATATAAAATGCAAACAAATTGACTTATATGTGCGATTTGTGAAAGAATGGATAATTTATATAATCAAGAAATATTATTCTCTCATTAAATGAACTCTTAACAAAATGACAACTAAGCCATTAAAAAATTAATAAAGTAAGGGTAATTTGGTCTGTCCAAATTTTTACAAAAATATTGGTCCTTAGAGATAATAAAATAAATAAATAATAGTAGATAGTAGATAGTAGATAAATTAGCTTTTGTGAATGATAAATCCTTGCTTCCTTTCAAAGAAAAATTCTCCCAACAATCTCGATATTCCAGTTAATCATTTTCTTTTCGTGCAGGTGATAGACACTTGAGGCCTCATGTGATTGCCGATCCAGAGCTTATGATCGTCCCTCGAACAAAAGAAGACGAGTGCCTCATTTTAGCTAGTGATGGCCTATGGGACGTGATGACAAATGAGGAGGCTTGTGATTTGGCCAGAAAAAGGATTCTACTCTGGCACAAGAAAAATGGGCCCACTCTACCCGAAGAACGAGGGCACGGTGTTGATCCGGCGGCCCAGGATGCGGCTGATTATCTCTCACGTTTTGCTCTCCAAAGGGGGAGCCGAGACAATATCTCGGTCATCGTGGTAGATTTGAAAGCTCGAAGGAAGTTCAAAAAGAAGAAATGAAAAGTTTGCAAGTTTGTGTTTTAAAAAGAAAGAAGAAAAAGAGACACAGAGAATGGAGGAGAATGGAAGATAACTCTGATCTCCCATTCTCCTCTCATCTATCCAAATCTTCGTTTGGAGGGTTAATAATTAACCGAGGTTTGTTGCATCTAATTTAGAGAGAGATGTAATATCTGCATTTATCTTTGGTGTATCCCTACAAGAAGGGATCAAATTCTGAACTGAGAAAAGACTATGAAAGAACATAGTCTTAGTTTGTCGGTGTAGTAGATGTGAACCAAATGTTTCTCCTATTATTTGTAATTTGTAACTTGCAATGTCAGCTGTTTTCAATTAATTTTATTTTATTTTATTTTTATGTTTTATTTTTATTTTTTGGAGTTTGCTTGGTAGGGTAGATTAGCTTTTAAGTTCCATTTATTCAGATAAGTGCTGTTTGATGGGATATATATCAAAACCTTAATGAGGCATGAGATGTGTTTTTTAAAATGTTTTGAGCTTATCAAAAGAAATAACTAAATAAATAAATAAATAATTGAGGCAACTTTCAAGGCAATGTTCATCGATATCTTTGTTTCAAATATAATTTACCAGTCAATTTTAGTTAGATAGAATTTATCACCAATTTTAGTTATATAGAATTTATCACCAATTTATCACCATACACGTGAAGCGCACCGTAACAGGGTGAGCCTAGATACACCATAGTAAGGTTCTATCTCAAAACTCATACCAATACCAATTGGTGGAAGGAGAAATAGTCCATTAGGCTTATAAATTATGTGTATTTTTCATATATAAACCATGTGAGACAACTCACAAGTAGTATTATATTCTAATAGAGACAACTTTCAAGAATGTTCATCTCTGATTCAAATATAATTTATCAATCAATTTTAGTCAAACAGAATTTATCACCAATTTTATCGAAAACTTAATCAGTTAGTTTTTAGTTTCTGGCAACAAATTATCAACTTGAAATTTAAGATTAATTTGTAGTTTTTGGTTTATAGCCACAAATTATCAACTTCAAATTTATAATTGAATTTTTAAGTTGTCGGCTACCTTTGTAATTTAGTCTTTTAGCTAAATCTACCTAAATTCTGTAGACAATTTCCAATCTAAGTTACAAAGGATTCATTTATCAAATGATTCATTTCATAGATAACCGAACTTACAATCGGATGCTAACTAGCATACGATTAATTGGTTAGCAAAGGATTAATGGAAGAATGGGCAAAAAGGTATTGCTTCTTTTTATACACCATAGCTCCCAAAATGTTATATAGTAAACATGTCATACTCCAACGAGAAAAGAACACAAATAAGACATAACATGGGTGAACTTTGGAAGTCCAAATCTCATTGAACACTATATTTTGCACACAAAATACAATCCAAAACAAAACTTACATCAAACCCATCTTTCTTTTGTCATCAGGAGAAAACACTGATCTACAAAAGCGAACTTTAACTACAAATCCAGTGCTCTGCCGTTATACTCGAATTTTCAAGACTAAAACGAAGTGTTACATTCAAGGCTCTACAAAGTTGAAGGTAAATTTGGACAGCAAGTGGGGAATCCCAGATAATATCTGACCATATGTCTGTACAACACAATAAATTCGAACACATTAAGGTCCAGTTGAATAAGACTAATACCATGCCCAGGAATTATAGCATCAGATTGCATTTTGAATCATAACATGAACAGGAAAAAAATAGGAAAACCAAAATATCTTCATCAGCCAAGGTCCGTATGGATATTTCAAGTTTCAATCATGTTAGATGTTCCATACTGTATTCACAAATGGAAAACAATAATCAGTTATATATACATTACAATGTACCTCCTCATTGTCATACAGTTGGCTCAAGGGAATAGCAAGAAGTCTGAAGTTCTTGGGCACAATAAATCTTCTACTAGGGGGCAGCTTGACAAGAAAGATCTTCGTACACTCCTGAAAGTGAGAAAAAATACAAGCACTTGGATAAATCAGAATCTACCAGAAGCTTCCGAAATTTAAACAAACAAAACATGAGATAACAATTACTTTAGGCCTCTTCATGTTCGGTGGGCGGTAAGGGTAGAGTACACTTTCAAAGTCGGGTTTCCACCACATTCCAAGACATTCTCCGACCTGAAAATTGTGAAAAAAAAAAAAAAAAAAAATAGATGCAGAGTTTACCAATCAAAATTCCGTTTTAACATTTGAGACTCGGCATATATTATGTATACCTCCCACTCAGGTCCACGACCATGTTCACCAACAGATAGCTTGCTCGAGAGCTTGCGTTTTAAGCACTCAATATCTGATGCACAACAAGAATGTTATGATTTTATGAACCTTGCAGTTAGATAAGATTTCTAACCAACTTCATATAAAGACTCTCAACATTATTTTTCTGCCTTACCTGATTCTCCTGGTCGAGAGCGGCCACCCGGGAGTTTATAGATTGAGTTCTGCTCTTGCAGCAACAAGAGATGGGGGTGTTTGAATAGTTCTACCTGCAATAGACTGGTTTTGTCACGTATTTATCTGTACAATAGTCTCAAAACTTTAAATATTCGGCTGATTCGCTGAATTTTCAGAAGTATTGACGCACATAATACTTGGTACAGTCAAATTAGAAATGGTGAGAAGCTTGTCAGGTTTCAATGTTTCATTTGGACAGAGTGAATGAACAATAAATTTCATTCCACAAGACAACCAGACTATTTCCACACGATCACTAAACAGAAATACACAGTAACATATGGCAAAGCCTCGTGTTCTGCTCAACCACGATCATCAGAGAACACCTTAGCTTAAGTCCTTTAATATGGAAACAAATGCGCCAATGGAAACTATATTTTTTTTTTCTTCGTCCGACATATTCAAAACACTATATGAATTACAATGTTATAATGATATCAACAGTCCAAATCGACAAGTCTGTGCAGCAGATAACTCTTTATCCAAGTTATAAACCTAATGATGAGCTGAGGTAATAAAACAAGACATTGAAACAATAAATAATCAAAATCACGAACACAGCCAAGACCCCACATTTGAGGCAGAAATCAATAACCATCCATTTACTGCTCCAATCACTGAACTCCCAGAACGTATTTAGCAAAACCCAGAACAAAAAATTCAAAATAATCGGTACAGAAAATACAAAATGGAAAAGCACCAACCGCAATCACAGCAGCCACGCAGTTCCTCATCCCATGTGCATCATAACTGAAATCCCAAATGAAAAACAACACAAGTAAAGTGACAAAAACAAATAGCTATGGGATATAACCCAAAAGGGTCCATTTACTCAGTACTCAAAAAGAAACACGCACACACACAAACACATAGACACACATACTCGGCTTTCATTCGCAGAACACGATCGGCAATGGTCTCGTTCTTCGGGCAGATCGAACCTTTGGAGCCGAAGTAGTAGCAGCTAAGTGGGTAAATGTCAATCACGCTTGAGCTGCTCCGATTGGAGTTACCGTTTTCTGGAACCGCCCGAGGACCATCCATTTGCTGAGTGAATTCGGTTGATCAGCTTAACGAAAAAGGGAAAGAAAATAACAAGTACAAATGCGAATGGCATTTGGCGGTGAGAAGGGTGTAGTAAATAAATAAATATAAATATAGTTAGTGGGGAACGAAAAAGAATACGTGTCTATTGTTGAGAAAACGGGAGGTTCAAAATAAATACTTATTAGTATGACACTCGTGTAATATATATGTTGATAAAACATATGTTGTTGTATAAAAATACAAAAATAGAAAATATAAAATTTCCAAATCTCACCTACTTAAATTCAATTTTTGTAAGATAAATAATCGAATTTAATTTTTGTAAGATGAATAATCGAGATGAAGGGAATCAGAATGAAGGAGGATGGTGATTTAAATAATGTAGAGAACAACTACGCTTTATTCATTTAATTTAATAATAAATGACACCCGTGTACTACACGAGTTGTTTGAAAAAAAATATATAAACATAAAATAATAGAAAAAACACATGTTGTATAAAACTGCAAAAAATAGAAAATACAGAATTTTCAAGCCTCTCCTACTTAAATTCAATTTTTGTAAGATGAATATAATTGAGATGAAGGGGAATCAGAAGGAAGGAGATGGTGATATAAATAATGTAGAGAACAACTACACTTTATTCATTTAATTTAATAATAAATATAATTTTGGAGGGAATTGGTTTAAGCAAAAATATATTAGTGGAGGACAAAGATATATTATTGTTTACATTAATTATATAAATAAAATAATATATAAAGTTAAATTTTTTATTTTGGTATTTCGTGAATTACGTCTAAATTATTAAGTATTATAATATTAAGCAAAAAAATCTATTTATTTTTTTATTTTGGTATTTCATGCATTACGTCTAAATTTTTTATTATAATATTAAGCAAAAAAATCATTTACACGGCATATAAGATAAGAATCCTATTTATTTTGAGGTTGCATATAAGATAAGAATCTTATTTATTTTGGAGTTGGAGGTCAAAAAATCCTTTTTACACGGCATATAAGATAATAATCCTATTTATTTAGGAGTTGGAGGGGATCGGATTAAGCAAAAAACTTATTTATTAAATAGTTTATTTTAAACAATTAGTGAATGTATCCGAACGAAAAGCTGAATCATGTAATGTTGCCAAGTAAGCTTCTGAAGCGTGCGAGGCAGCCATTTAGACTCAGCACATTTTAAAATTATATTAATAAGAGGGGATTTACTAATACAACACCAGTTTAACAAATATTAAAATATTTACCGATAAAAAGAAAAAAAATTATTAATTTTGAAACTTTTAAAATTATATTTGATAAGGGAAAAAATATACATTTATTAAGCGATACGTGGCTCAGGAGAATAAAGACACGTGTATACCGAGAACCGTTAGTGCCAAGGTCAAGGCTGAAGCTCAACTTCAATTTAGGCCCAAGTTCCAGAAGAGCCTTACTTGAGGCCCAAGGTCCCGAGGAGCCTTGCTTTAGGCTCAAGGTCTAAAGGTGGCCCAATTGGTGGACCATAGTCCACCAAGCTAGTGGGCTGGGAAGTCCTCCGTCTACACAGGGAAGACCTGGCCATCCGAGGCCGTCCGACCTCTATAAAAGGATGACCTAGGTCAAGGTAGGCCACACACTCTCTTCTGCTCAATACTCTACAGCCGCCACCCAAAATCTAAAACCGATTCTAACTTAGGCATCGGAGGATCTACCCCGGGTTCTGTTTTGCAGGCCGGAACAAAGGAGACGCACCAACGAGGACGTCGAAGCATACTTTGCGGTCACGTGTCCTTGAACTAACATCAGGTATTTCTTGTATCATCAATTGTCGCCGTCTGTGGGACCCGACGACTTAGGAAGAGGATTCATGGCAATACAGAGGATAGGGGAAACCAGTCGAGGGACGCGAGGCGTTTCGCAACACGATCAACCCCTAGGAAGCCACGCGAACTCTCAGGCTAACCCTAACCAAGGCCAAGGTTCTCAAGGTCCAGCTACCTCGGAGACGGAGGTTGAACGACTATAGAGAGTGGAGAAAGAACTCCTTGAACTGAAGACCTTGATGAAGGGTGTGTTGGAAAAATAAGCATCCTTAGGTCAAAAGGACAAAGAAGCCAGCCATGGTGAAGGTTCTAAAGCCTTCAACGATGAAGCCGAGGTCAGCTCCAAAAGATACCTCGAGAGAGAAAATTTCACACCTGAGGATGACAACCTTAAGCAAAAGCTTGAGGAGATGAATGAAAGGCTCGGCGTGGTGTGGAAAGAAGTCAGAAAGTCGACGTCGAATATTTTCTCGCCCACCGAATCCCCTTTTGTTGAGAGCATCATGAAAGAGAAAATCCACTCTAACTTCAAGATGTCTCAGATAGAGAATTACGATGGAACCTCGGACCTCCGTGACCATCTTGAGAATTTTCAAGCCCTTATGATGCTTCAGAGGGAGACCGACGCCATCAAATGCCGAGCGTTCTCGACCACGCTGAGAAAGAGTGTCAAGGTTTGGTTTTCTTCGCATCCAAACGGCCTCTATCTATTCTTTTAAATAGTTGGCACAAGAATTCCTCAACCACTTTGTTAGTAGCAAGCGGTACAAGAAAGCATCAGCCCATCTTATGGGCGTTCGTCAGAGATCGAATGAGACGCTAAGGGAGTTTATCCAACGTTTCAATATAGTGGCACTAGAGATTGAGGACTTAGACCAGTCTGTGGCCTTGGTCGCACTTATGAATGAGGTTCAAAAGTCATCAAGGTTTGCTTTCTCTTTGGCGAAAAAACCACCGCTATTCCTGCCTGAACTCTTCAATAGGGCTGAAAAATACATCAACGCTGAGGAGATGTCCAAAGTTGAGGGGAAAGACGAGCGAGAGACCACTGACAGAAAGAGGATAAGGGATCCAGGTGTGGATAATGGTGGAAACAAGAAAAAAATGTGGGATAGGTTGTCTGTCACCACCAGCTCATCGAAGGATCGGTCCAATCTCCCGAGGTTCGAGAGGTATACTCCTCTACGTGCTACAAAGAACGAAATCTTGATGTATATTCAAGATAAGGACTATGTCAGATGGCCAACCAAGATGAGAACCCCACAAACAAAAGTAGTTGGGATAAGTATTATCATTTTCACCGAGACCACGGTCATGATTTCGAGGATTGTGAAATCCTGAAAAATGAGACTGAAGACTTGATAATACCAAAAGCTTCTTCCAGGTGCAGACTGCTGAAAAAAAAAATATTTATATATTGATGTGTATTTGAGGGTAGAATATGCCACTTTAAAAATTTGTCATTGAATAAGTGGCAAATGAGCCTTATTCCAGGGTGCAAACTGCTAAATACCAAAAGCTTTGTTTTCAATTTTGCTTTGAATTTTCTGCCCAAGCAGCTGGCTCGACATCAACAGTAACCCTCTGGTCCGAGGTCCCCCTCCATTTTCTTTGCGAGTAAATTAAACAGTTTATCGTTTTCTACCTTTTCTTTCTCGATACATTGCTATTCTAAATTTCCTTTGTCTGATTGTTTTTTCTCTTTTTCTTCTGTATATCTTGAACTCAAATCGCTGATATAGTATTACANAACTTATTTCTTGATAATCTAACCTTTTATTTTCCTTGTGCGCATTCACTGATTTTTCTTGCAGATATTTTGCTTCTTTTAGTTCCTACCATGGCTCAGTGTTGCCTCTCTTGGCTTCCCATACCCTATCCTCCCTATCCCCACACAACCAATTTCAGCCCCAAATTCCACATCTCAAACTCACTTTCTTTCCCCAACTTCCACGCCAAATGCTTCACCACCGGTGCCGGTCCGGTTGACGGAGCAAAAAACGGCGGCAACGGCAATCCCGGCGGAGGCGGCAACCACTCGGGCGGCAACGACGACGAACCGGAGCCCCAATCCCCCGGATTCCAAATTTTCGGGCCTCTCGTGAGCGGGTGGCGTTCGAGGGTCCGCGCTGACCCACAGTTCCCTTTCAAGGTCCTGATGGAAGAATTAGTCGGCGTCAGCGCGTGCGTGCTCGGCGACATGTCATCCCGGCCCAACTTCGGGCTCGACGAGCTCGACTTCGTCTTCTCCACCCTCGTAGTGGGCTCCATCCTCAACTTCGCCCTAATGTACATCCTGGCCCCGACCCCAATATCCGGCCCGGCCCAAACCCTCCCATCTATCTTCTCAACCTCTCCCCCAAGCCACATGTTCGAGCCCGGTCCGTACACCTTCCCAGCCCGATTTGGCACTTTTGTCTACAAAGGCCTCGTTTTTGGGGCAGTCGGGCTTGCGGCCGGGCTTTTGGGGACTGCCATTTCTAATGGGCTGATTGCGGCCAGGAGGCGGGTCGACCCGGGTTTTGACCCGCCAAACAAGCCTCCACCGACTGTGCTCAATGCTGCCACGTGGGCAGTGCAGTTGGGTTTGAGTAGTAATTTGAGGTACCAGGGATTGAATGGGATCGAGTATTTGCTGGCTAAGGGATTGCCACCTGTCGTTTTTAGGACATCGGTTGTGGTTTTGAGGTGCTTGAATAATGTTGTTGGGGGAATGTCGTTCGTGGCTCTTGCTAGGCTGACGGGCTCGCAGTCTGTTGAGGTGGATAAGGTGAAGAATGGGAAACAGGCCTGAGTGATTCCCATCTTCTCTGTTTTTTTGGAAAAAATGTATTTTTTTTGCAGTTTTCTTTGGATAGGTTATCGATTAGCCTGTGTATTTTGTGTTTTTCTTTCATTAGCTTGGTGATTAGGCGTTGTCTATAGGAATCGTGGTTATCTGGTATTTCGTGTTCTTGGATGGTTATGTTTTGCTGTTTGTGCTTAGAAATTGTATGTGGAAATGAATTTTTTGGGTGATTTGATTCAGTATGTCCATTGTTTGCTATCTTGGATTCGTAAGCTGGTTCGTGAAAAAAACGAGCTCATTTACTACGAGAAAGAGAAATACTTGAACCGGTTTGCATAGGTTGGTGATGCTGTTAGTTTCTATGACATTGTGCATGAGCTCTGTATTCTGCTGTAGAAATTTAGTACATGGGTTTTGGCCAAACTTGCCAAACCTAGTAATTGTAGCATCTAGCATGAATATCTGACAATGTTTTTTT